AGAATGTATATGGAGAGGTGGGGGGGGGGGGGGGGTAGACCTAAAAACTCTGACATGCATGCACATATATGCATGCCAGTGCTCAGGTGACCTGCAGATGGCATTGACCTGATGTCTACCCCAGTCCCCTTGCTGAAGGAGTACAGCGATGATATCAAGGTAAAAGTTCTGTTTGATATCAGGCTGTGAATTCTCCACAGCAGGGAAACCGTGCACAGGAATAATTTGCAAACCTCATCACTGCAGAATAAGTAACAAGAAATCCTTTTCCTATTCCTCAGTTTATCCATCCATGAAATGGGATAGCTAGGACTGCCTCAGATGCAGATATTTTGGAATCCTAAAATAAAAGTGTTGCATAATTCCAAATTATTATTACTCAAATATACAGTATACACTATTTACAGTGCTTTAAGTCACTTCAGCTTTAAACAGAATTGTTATTTGAAATAAGCCATCCTTCCCATGCTAAAAACCACCATATTCAATTAAGACAGTTTTTAGGAAGGGTAAGAAGCAAAGAGAATTCTTCAGTCTTTTAGGTCTTACCTCAGAAATAAAGGCACTGAGACTTTTCACATGTTTTAGCTGTGGGGTGTCAGGTACAAATATGCACTTCCCTTTAGATTTTTTAAACTCTTCTTTATAATGTATCTACAAAGAGGAGAAAAAAGAAGTTTAATTGTTCTTTGAAAAAAAAACAGAAAAATAAACAATGGCTATTTTTATTTAATTTTTATAATTATTTTATTTTATTTATGGAGACTATGCTGGGTGGCTTGCAGATATCTGAAGCTGGATCAAATTAAGCCATCAAGGGAAACATCCAGTTCTCACATAGTACCAGGGCAATGTAAAAGTCACATCTTTAATAATAAAGATGAAAAAGATATGATTTTTCTCTACATCTACAGCACATTTTCACCACTGTTGTAGATGTTCTAGTATCTCTAAAGTAAGGAGAATTGAATAATTGATCTTCTTAATACTTGATCTCAAAGATAAAACTCTTAAACTAACTTTTAACACAGACCTAGCAAGCACAGAATCTATATAACATAATCGAATGCCCCTTTATGAATCCAAGAGTTACATGAATAAATTCAGAAGGCCACTGCCAAATCATTGGCCCAAGCACCCCAACAGTCATGACATGCAAGTAATAACAGATTTAAGACCAAACAGATTTTAAATTGACCCATTTTTTAAATTATGTATATGCACAAAGGAAACCATTTTTGAAGCAAAACCCCATGACATATTCTGAAAAAAAAAAAAAAAAAAACAAAAACCCCAAGCCTTTTTTTTTTTTTTAAACACAGCCTTTTTCTTACCATGGGGCAAACAATACAGGCAGGTATAATAATCACATGACTGTTAATGAAGTCAGAGTTACTGTTTGTATTAGGGAGAAGGATAAAAACTATGGACGTGGTGAATGAGTAGGGACTTTTATTATGTAAGAACCGTGTGAAGAAAGATAGTCAATTATGATAAGATGGACTAAATAAGAAATACAGACAGTTTACATGGATAGCCTTAAATGTTTTTAGTGACACTTCTTTCTTTGTACATAGAATAGTTCAATTCAATGCAAATTGAATTATTTAGTATTAAGCTTTCGTGGTTATTATCTGCTACCATTTCTCTAACCTCATTTTCACATTCTGCACAACAGCAGCTTGCATTTATGCACTCTAGACTTGCTGACAAGCACTGACAGAAGCAATATGATCTGCATCTGAGCATTACAGAAATATGCAATCTTAATTTCCTCTTTCTCTGAATCCTTAATGGATATCACAACTTCTAGTCTACACTCCTCTACAGGGACTTGGAAAATTCATGAGAAGGATGGCAGCTTACACAGAATCAGCTCCTGTACTATCTGATGCAAACTTTTTGTCCACTGCAAAATGGATTAGATAATGCCAAATTCATCTCAAACTGATGACTACATAATCCTCACACAATAAATAATCTTGGTTACTATTGAGCTCATCCACATTTGGACTACTGAAGGAATCTACATCTCATTACCGAATCATATTGTCTGCCTTTGTGGATTACAGTCTATTCTAAATAAAAACTGCTTTGTGAACAACAGGTGTAAAATTACTGTATGTCATCATTTTACTCAGGGAACCACAAATCCAATGGTTCATGTAACCTGTTGTGTGACACCATACTCCCAGGTAATCACAGAGCAATGCACAAAAAGGACAGTTTTATGATAAACATGAGCAGGCACTTACTGTTCAACTTGCCCACATGCATGCACGTACTTGCAAGTGTGTGTATGTATGTGGACATGAACAGCTTAAAAAAAAGGCTTCGTAGAATTATGTTCATTCACAGTGATACGGCTGAGAAGGGACATGGGAAATCTACAGAGCTGACTGTCTACTGTTTAGGTTTGATGGCATTCCCAGTAGAAACTCCTGTAAAGCTGAGACTCTAGTAGAGGAGATGGAGAGTCTTGCTGCTCACAAATGAGGTAAATCACACACAGATATCTGAAAGCTGACTGTAATTACATCCATTTTAATTACAGAGCAATAATTACACTCAAAAATCAAACATGAAAGCTTTCTAAGGTATCTCTTAACTGGGGGGGATGACACGACATGACTAGAAGAAACAATCAAAGCTATTGTGTTGTAGAAGTCATGCTTTCAAAATAACTGCAGTAAAGGACTAATGCCACCACCTTACTCCTTTATTATTCACATTTATTATAGTAAGCCATAGAGGCCACAAAATGCATGCAGGCTCAAATGAGCAATTTAGAGAGGACATATAACAAAATGTGTGGTCAAACTCTGATCCAACACACTCCATTCAGCTACAGAAGTGTCTGCATCGCTTGGAATCAGAAACATGGAAGATGAAATGGGACAAGTATAATGAAGTCATGACATCTGCACTTAAAAAGCATATTTATTGTAAATTACTTAAGCAAGAGGCTTAAGAGGTTGGCTACGACTGAACATAACAAATGGCTGGAAGGAATAGGCAGAGAAGCTAATATTCCTCTTCAAAGTTTGGGGTTACAAATTCAGATGTCTAAAATACTGAATAGGACATTTTGCCTGAGAGTGACTTACCCTTCAACACAAAATACGCGGTTTAGGTTGAGTAGATCTGGTAAGGCTTGTGAAAAAAACAAATAACAGGAAAAATTTGAAATGATGGCCAGGAGCCACTACTGCTCTTTTGACATACTTTTGAAGTCCAATACCTCGCTAAAGGCCCAATTTTTAATAGCTCTCTCCTGATCCCTTTCTTCTCCCTGACTCATCATACTCATTCCACCAAGGAATCCCTTTCCAACCCTGCATTTAATTTATAATCTCTCATAAGACTAAGAGCTGTGTCAGATCACAGATCCATCTAATACAAAATCCTCTCTCTGTGGCCACAGAAACCTAGAGACAAGCGTGAGAACAGGGCAAGCATACAGTATTATTGCCCCACAGTATTTTACTAGTCTCCAGCAATTTGGACCTCGAAGTCCTCCTGAGATAGAGGCTGTGTAAGCTCAATGGTGAGTCCAGAGGAACAGCTCCACCCTGAATGAGGTGGTCACAACCCTATTGGTATGAGTGGAAAGGCACTCTGTTTCTGCACCTGACTCTAGGTCTATCTGGCCCTTGCTTTATAACAAAGAGACACACTAAAGCAAAGTTGGACTCCGTAAAAGGACAGTTAAATGGCAAGTTGTACTACTTTTTGCTATAGGGAAAAAGAAGCACTGGTACCATATATTAACAAAATTCAGCAGAGTCTTCAGAAGGCAGACTGTCTGCTTCTCTACCAAAAAGGATTATGATAGTTTGGTCAATAACCATTTTACTTGGATAATAATTCCCCTCTTTGCTTATAACAGTATTCATAACATCACACCACTACAATTAAAACAAAGAAGAGATGAAAATATACCAACATACAAGTAATACACGCAAATGGACAGGCTCAATTTCAATATGGAAGACAAAAGGCCTGGAAAGGAAGGTAATGCATATGAACCAAGCACACATGACAGTTTTAAAAACATCTGTGGAATAAAATTGCATAATGGAGGGAGATTAAATGAAATGGCTTTAGGGAGAAACAATCCAGGGGGTATCACAGCCACAGAACAAACATCTGCCAACCTCAAATGAAAACAGAGATTTCCTCAAGAACATAAAGACTTCACTACTTCCCCTGCATACAGTTCAAGGCTGACAGTTACACATGCACTAAGGGCTGCCATTGCAACACTTTGTTAAAACCATATTGCCAAATTAAAGTCAGCCTTCAAAGAATGCAGGGCCAGTGTAATGCAGCCCCAGTATCTCAGTCATGAGCACTCCTGGCGCTGCATTCTGATGGAGGAGCTGTGCTGACAGCTCCACCAGCAGAAAAGGACAAGCACCCAGTCTCGTGGTCAGCAAGGACACAGGCTGCTGTCCCAAGGTCATCTTAGGGCCAAACTGCAAGCCCCATAAAACCATTGTATACATAAAGTGTACAGATGTACACCAACAACACATCCACACAAACAGCAGTTTGTGCAAAGATTCGTGCTAAATGGATAAAGAATATATAAAAAGTTCTGAACGTTAATGAGTCAAAAATCAAAGGCAAGAATGAAAATTCCTTGCAGTTTATTGGCCTCCACAATGAAGTGTGCAGGCTGAGGAACTTAGCCCCACCAGCACAAAGGACTTCACTGGTCATAAGAAATTCCAATTATAGCAAAAATTCTGGGAAACAAAATTCACCCCCTATACATTTGCATATTCCATTCAAGCCAATGAAGAAACACCTACTGATTTCACCAGAGGCTGAATAAGGCCCCAAAATTGGATGCCATTTTTAAACACAGAGTCTCTTTAAAAATAAATTGGTCTGGACCATTACATATTACTACTGCTTTGAAAGTATTAATGACACTTTGCCATTATGCTTTACATATCTCAAGGAAAATCTAAAACACTTACAGGCTAAACGCATCACAAGTTTTCAGCAAAAGCCCACATCCCTGAACCATTATAGGCTTCAGAAACCTGGCTTGACTTAGTTACTCACCTTAGCTCACAAGCCCCTGCAGAAAATCAGAGAAAACACAGCCACTCAATTTATCAGTTATTTAACAGCCACAGCCAACATTACTCCTAATGGGCACACAGCACAATAATAATTCCTTTTCAATTAAATAAAATATTTCTTCACTATTTGTCGAGGAGTTTTTGCCTTTAAGAACAGCAACCATGTTCAGAAACAAGTTGCATGGAAACACTACATGTATTTTGGGTCAGATAAGTGCTCCAGGTCCATTTTCATTTTGGCCTTTACATGAGTTGACAGGCACTTATTGTACCATATGCCATTCTTTTCCCAAAGAAAGCAAGTAGATAATCATCAGTAAAAATATTAATAATCTCTACTACCTCCTAAAGTAGCTTGAGATTACAAGGGAGCCATCTTGGTAGGTTCTTTTAAGGATCTATCCAATTTTCAGCACTCCTTCTGTGAAAATTAAGGTATTACCAGACGGTGTATGTACAAAGAGGAAACTTTGACTTTGTCAAGTCACACTTTCAAGTCAGCACTGTAACACCTACACATCCCAGATACTGTTTTTCTGAGTTACCTATTCCTTTCTGATATGTAACCCCTAATAATTTATACCTTAAGTGTAGATTCTGTATGTTCTACTCTCATAAAATCAACATACTCGTTCACCTTGAACAATAACATCCTGAATCTAAATATCAGATTACAACACAAACATGAGCCAGACATGATTTTTTGGTTTCTTTAGAACACCACTTGTTAAAGCAAGTCACTCTCTCCTCAGTAATGTGTCCTCTGCTGCCAGCCACCACCCTCGCAGGAAGAATACCACTCCTTAACTCCCATTCCCATGAAGGGACAAAGTTATTATTCACACACACTTTCCCAGAGGGACATAGAAATAATGTTCCACCAAGGTAAATCTGATGCTGTTACATTGAAGCAATTGGATCTACTCCAATTTAAAATGTCTTGGATCCGATCTGTGATGTTTATATAACGTCTATATCTGATGGACAGTTTTAAAGCTCTATAGCAACTAAGGCAAGAATTTGCTAGCTAAATAATTTTTAAAGATATTCTAGCATTCAGTGGATTCTCTCTAGAAGTGCAAGTCAGTAATAATATGCTAAGCAGTTCTGAGCATCTATCACCACAGACCAATAGATAACACTCAAAACTCATCTGTTTTATTTTTATCCTCCCTCCTTACAGCTATGTATACTGGCACTCAGTTCTGTTCTAGCCAATCAAACTTCATAGGATCAGGCTATAACTAGAAAAAATACTGCATTTTCCTGATTAAATCAGCCAAGGTGTTCTCATGGGAGACACACTCCGCATGAGACCCACTTTTTGGAACATTCTCCTTCCTAGGGCCTCTGCTTCACACCGTCCAAGTGCTCTGAAAAGCTCATCCTTCTGTGGCTGATAATTTAAGGTACTAGAGTAGGCTGTGCTTTTCTATTACTTTTGTGTGCTTTTTCACTTGAGTCTTGGATGGGCACATGCTGCACTGTACATACCTGAAAAAATATGTATCATAAATTTAAACCCACTTGAAAAGAGAAATGTAAATATAAGGATGCAAATAGTCACCGTCACTTACATCACTTATTATTTCACTGCATTTTCGGGCCAGTTCCATATTTCTGTCCTCAATAACAGGCTTGAGGAAGACCTGTAAGAGAAAGATAATCACTCCAGGTTTGTTGTCCTAAAAGGGTAACAACAGAAGGAAATAAGTACTTTTCAAAGATATTGGGGTTTAACTCACCTTTTCTTCTTCTTCCCCATCCTCATTTTCATCTTCCCTGAGATCCTGAATGACAGATACTCGCATTTTAATACTTTGCAGAAAACAACAATGAAAACTCTAAAAAGGTTCAGCACTGCAGGAAACAGCTCAGACCCTACAGCATGCCTGGAATCAATGGTTCATTTGTGTCCTCGCTGCACTTAACTCTGCCAAGGCTCCTTCCTTATTTAGGCAGCACTTGACGGTCTTTATCTGAACAATTCAGTGTGAGTGAACTGAAAGGCATTGCAGATGGCCTTGCTAGCTATCAGTCGCAGCAGAGCTAATGCTTTCTTACAGATAAAATATAATTAAATGACCTATCCCAGTCAACTATTTTTAAAATTACTATGAACACACTTAATTAAAATACTGTGATGCAGTTAATTCATAACATAAGTAATTTAGTAAAATTAATAGGCTTAAAAGGGGAACATTGACTCTAGGGTTATGGGAAAACCGCCCAGTTCTAAGATTCAAGGCATCACTGACTCCAAAACCAGTTATCACGAAACTTTATTTTGTTGGTCCAATAATAGAGCTTTTTGATTAAAAGACGCACACTCTTCTCATTTTCCAGTAGATGTAACTGCTAGTATTTCAGGAAATACTCGTTTTCCACAAAGCATATAAAATTCCTTAAATGCTTTGCATATTATGTCAGCTGAAGGTTAAACCTGTGCATACATAGATACAAACACATCTGTACACTTAAAAGTATACATGGCTATGTATTTACACAAACATGAATGTTCCTTCACTGTTAAAAATTGTCATGGTGTGTAGTCTCAAAACCAACCTTTTTCAGTATGAAGTCATTGACTCCAGCTGCAATGAAACTGAAAGATATCCTTATGCCAATGGATACAGTGTCACAGTGTTTGCTTCTGTAAAACAAGCAAGGAGGTATTACAGGACCAGTTGGAGTAACCAGCATTTTAACTTTTTTTTTTTTCCTTTCCAAACCGTAGCTTGTATACTTCTCATTTTATAGAGGTCACGATTTTGAACTTCATCTAGCAAAGTGATTTGCCACTACACAGCTTTGCAATCAGGCAAAGATATAAGGAATGTGTGGTCTTAAAAAACCTCTTCAAAGAATTTTAAGTACTTGTGCCCATCCTTAGAGCTTATTTAGAAACATACATTTCCTTAGAAAAATAAACTTTTCAAAGAAGAGAAAAAAATACAGCATTTGACTTAGTTAAGGTCTGAAAATCTGAAAAAAATATTAAGAAGAAAGGCACAAGCTGCTTTCAGTGTATAATAATCCAGAGACAGAATTCTTTATATATTAATAGTACAGAATGCTTCAAGATTTTCCATTCCTCTACTTCAAATATAAGCTCCTAAAGTTCAGATGTGGATTGGCATTGCTGAAGTTCAGGTTGAAAACTATAAGTCTGGTTTGTATAGGTGAGAATTACCTGTAATTTATGCTGACTACTTTTGGACCTCAGGATATTTCATCCTTGTGAAAAAAATGGTACGGTCTTATAAGATGGATATTCACAGTAACAGGTCATTTTTGAAGATTATGGCCACAGCAAATATATTCCTAAACAACAGATTCATGCATGATTTCAAGGACCACAAGTTAAGGAGACAGAGTACCTACAGAAGTACCAGACAGAAATGCACATGAAGGCTTCATTTGGGGATTTTTGTGATAATATTGCAAATACTATATTTTTCCAGCATAGTTAATTTCCCTTTCTTTCCTACATTTAATAAATTTTTTAGGTGGAGACATTGAAAAATATTTGAGAGTAGAGAAGACCTATTAGTAGCTGCAAAGCTTGCTGAATATGGGGAAATCTTTTGCTATTTTTTGCACCAGAAAGCAAATACATTCAAAATGACAAAGTCAAAACTGTTCAGGTTTGGGGGGGAAGATGGGGCTGTTCAGCTTTTTAACATGCTTACATTGTATCTGGTGGTTTTTCAGCAGCTGGACATACCAAAATTTATGTATTAATTGTGGGTTTCCTGTAATGGTTTCTGCATAATAAAGATGTGCTTTCTCTTTAGCATGATCTTCAACTGATTTGATAGAATTCATTTTTTCCCATTTTTACGAGTGTCCAAATATGCTACGCCCCATGTAACTTCCATAATACAGGGACTGCAAGACAGCTCCTATAACTCATCATATTAAAGAAAAATATAATGCTATGCACAAAGGGAGCAAGGGAAAAAATATCACAGTATCAACTAACCATACACAAGTTATTCAAAATGACACTCTTCACATAACAGATGCAGTAAGAGACCATATAACACAAAACCTACCTCCCTTTTTTTCATCCTCCTCGAAACACTGAATAGTCAGATAACATTCACAGTGCAATAAAGCAAGCCTGAAAATTAAATATATCCAGATATAATTCAGAGAATAATCTGTTATAAGGATTTAAGAGTTGCATGGTTTAGAAGTGCATTATGATTCTATTAGCAGCCTGCAGGTCAAGAACAAGCTTAGGTTACTTCTGTAAGAGGCAGTAAATAATCTAGGATCGGCAGGCATGTTTGGCATTGCAAATGTTTGTGTATGTTTACAAATATTTTTAAAACCACGCTAAAAGTACTAAATCTAATCGGAATAAAGTTCAAGTTAAAATGCTGAGCTTTACATCCCCAAAACAAATATGAAGTATGTCGTATTAAAGAATACTTTTTACCTGCAAAACCTGCAGTTTTACCAAAACTTCCAAACTGACACTGCTGAACCACTTTCCACTGTAGACAGTGGAATAATCCGTAGTCATTTGTTTTGGCATGAAACAGCACAGATTAAACAAAATCCAATTGTACATAATTTTAAGAAAACACTGCAACGGACTGCTAAGCTGTGTATACACAATATTTGCATGCATACAGGACATGGCAAAATTAGGATTTATTACTGCATTATAGATATCTTAATATGCACACAAAGGGGAGAAATGGGTTCTTCGGGGAAGTACCCAATATGAACTCATTCAAATTTTGTAAGGGAATGTTGCATAGCTCCACATTTCTGCTTCCAGCCACCCTGCATGGATGTTTCACATCTCAGTTCAAATCTAGCCTTAAGAATGAGGATATTTTGTGGAAGAAGCTGCAACGAAATGAAGCTGCAACTGTACGTTGTCTAGATTGTTCACAGAAGCACAGTATTTGCAGTACACAATCTTCATCACGTATGAACTTTTGATTGAGAAGATAAGACTTCCAGAAGCAAAATATATGGTTTCTCCTATGAAAGGAGACAGCTGAATCTTCCAACACTTACAGACATCATTCGCTCCTGTCAATGTACTATTTTTTGACACAGAACATTACTCAAGCACTTGGTCTAAATGCATATCTGCTGAGGAGGCAGAAGGGGAAGAAACATGGGGTATAAAGGAGCCCCAGTCCCCATGATGACGAGTCGGCCCAGCACACAAATGGCTCAGGCACGCAGTTGTGCAGCTTCCTGCTTTGATCACACACAGCTGTGTCCACAACTGGCCAAAGCCCCACCATCTCCTTGTCCCTTTATCAGTCTTTTAACAAATACATTTGGGAGATCTTGGCCCAGAAAGTTAAAAAGCTTCATCTCATTTTGGCCCTGATACACATAACAATTTAGCAGTGACACTCAGTTCTGTCACTAAACAAACAACACCGCTGGACTTCTTTGGCATAATCCCCAAAGCCTTCCGAGATCTGACATATTCACATGTACTGCTCAGCTGAAAGAACTTTACCACTTCACAGAACAGCAGAAACTGTTCTTGTCCTAGAAAATGTTCCAGAAATGTCATAATCTCAAACCTATTAATGCAGAGTTCCTCATGGGGTACTTGAACATAGGCTGCAAGTTAAGGGCCAAGTTATTTCAGCTGGAGGCTCTACACAGCATTATAGTGAAAGGTATATACATGTTATGAATATACTCCTTTCAATTCTGGACTGAAAACCTAGTAAGAACAGAGGTAGAGTTTTAGTGCTTTAACTGTCCTGCTTCCAATGAGTTAAAAATCAACCCACAGACATCCCTGAAATGAAAATGTTATTTTCTGTTCTCACTGGACAGACACACACATCACTGAAATAAGTACAATTAATGCAACACAACACAGCTGGTGGTCTCTTTTCAAAAAGCACACAAGGCATCTGTAAGCACTGAGATTCAATTACTTCTCATTTCTAGAAATACTCAACTATTAGACTGGAACTTACTAGCAACCCTGCATAAGGAAGTTCATAGTTAGGCTATCAGCACCACAATCACAAACAGAAAGCAAGCAAGGAATCCCAGCCTGCCAATTTTAACCTCCCCTGAAGATGAAATACCAATTAACATTAACAAAAGAAATTCAAAAGATGGTTCTATTTAGAGAAAAATCTTACCCATAAGCTTGTATCTGTCACATCATTAACACTGCATTTATCAACAACACTTTGAAACCTGAAAATATCTCATGGCTCTAAGCTAAGATCTTCATTCAATGAAAGTTATTTTATTTAAGGTTTTGGTAAAGCAGAGAGTGGCAATGGTATTTTTAAAGATGAATACAAATGAGATGTTAGAGTTGTGAATCCCAGAAAACCTAATGAATTTTCAATGCCTAATAAATACATAAATATAGACATTTTTTGCAAACACATACTCACAGGGACGTTGTCTAGCCCAACTGGATCTTGATGACTGAGCATTTAAGATGTCTGTACGGTACAACTAGTTTCACGTAATAATACCCAATCTAACTGAGTTACCAGAAGCAGTGTAGCTATGCTAGCATGACACTGCCTGAGTTAAACTCTTTCCCACACAGCTAATTATCCTGAGAAATGAACCCATTCAGAAGTGAGAGTATTTATCAGGGCACAAGATTGTGCCATGTGGATTGTAACCTTAGCTGTGATCAGCAACAATACATTGAAATAAACCAGCATAAAGCTTTTTCAGATACTAATGTATCCTGAAAAAAAACCCAAAACCTCAGCTTCATTTTTCTGACAATATTCATAACTGCCTACTACGTTTGCACAATAGCTTCTAACCCTCAAAGATG